CTCATAAACTAACAAGCCTGTTCCAGGCTTTACAGCTGACAACTTTCTCTGGACCTGACTGTGCAAACACCTCCATCCCCACACTGCTCTGGGTCTGCTGCCTCGGTGAGCACTCCACTGGACCTTTTCTATTGTCCCCTTTCTACCCTCTCAAGCTTTGTTCCACAGGAACAGAGGTAGGCGGAGGTAGTGGCATCCTGCAAAGGGGATGTGGAAAAAAACAATAACCGAATGCACAGAACAGGAAACCATCTCTGAAATCAACGTGAGGTCATCTACACACCTTCCCCAATGAGGCGTCTTCATGAGGAACTGTAGGCTGAGGCTTCACCTCCGGCCGATAATATTGAGCTTTGAACAAATGTCTTCTTACACAAGACGCTGGTCAACATGGGTTCAGCAAGAAGCTACTAAGGCCAAGGAGAAAACCCCAGAGTGCACTGAAGGCATCTGGAGCCAGCGAGTGCTCAGCACCATTGGAAAACTAGGTCCAAAGTCCTAAGGAGTTTGAAGAAAAAGCAATTCTTTCTGCTTGTGGCTCCCTTGAGTACAGCAATGTTTGCTTCCTAAAATACTTCTGAACAGATGTGATATTCGCAGTGGGTCAGATAGGTTGCTTTCCATAAGGAAACATGGCATGCAGTAAGGAAAGTGGATCAGAGGGAGGTTGTTCTGCGAAAGACGGCTCCTAGGAACTGCATGGTCCCTCGCTGAAGCCCTGGGCTTGGGCTACAAAAGCTACTGTGTTCAAATGCTGTGGGGAAAAGCATCCAGCTCTCAGTCCACATACAAATCCGCGCAGAAGCAGAGGGGAATATTTAAAGGTTCCTGGTAGTCTACAAATGAAATTGCCTGGACATGCCCGTAATGTATCCTGACATGTCCTGTCCACAAATCCCAAGGCACTCGGAGCTGGCGTGGGGAGACGGGTTACAGGCGACACAGGCTGAACAAAGGACCAAGCTGACAAAAGACATTCAGGCACCAAAATAGGTGGTGAGGTGCTTAGCAAAGCCCAGTGCCGTGGAGTCATGCGGGATGATAAGTTTCTAGGAGCTTGGCCCGCCTAGATGATGCTACGTTCTTGTCCTGACAGTGGTCTAGACTGCTGGGGATCGATACGTGCTGTAAAACATGGTCTGATCTAGCAGCTAACAGGTTAAAAAGGCTTTGTTTTCTGTCTGTGTCCTCCCTCTCCCCTCCAGTTGCATTTCACATGGTTCAGTCACAGTCTTGTTTCACAACTGTGTGTTTTGAAAGGACTTATTAGCTCTAAGTGTAGGCTGGGCTTAAGACTCTTGCTTTATTGTTTACCCTGCCTGCTAGGCCTGTTTCTGGGGTCAGACCCAGGTTACCAATTACAGCTGTGATTAAACATACTAGCCCAGCTTACCCCTGGGCTTTTTCCCCCTCAAATTCCCAGTGATTGTGCTTAACTGGTGTTAGCAACCAGGTGACTGCTGGCACTGCAGTCACAATTGTCTGTGCCTTCTCTGGCAGAGCCAGATAATGAGATTTGAACCAGGCCAAACATCTATTATTTTTCCAGTTCAGAACTGTTCCCAGAGTTTTTTTGGGTTTTTTTTTTTCTTAATGTAAAGAAAGCCAGCCCTTGGCTTCCCAAATCTACATAGATAACCTTAAAATCCTTCTTAAATACTAGGGTAATTGGGAGGGACCCACCCGGGAGAAGTGACAGCTAATTTAGCAATCTGTGGGACATGTCTAATAAGGAGGATTTGAATGTTAATTCTGTGTAACTATTTCACTGCTGATAACAGGGGGTGTGAATTCACACTGTGGCTGTTTGACTGGCAGCTGACTCTAATGGTATTCGAGGCCAGCTTGAAATTGTTTTCTGTGTCTCATGCCTTCTGAACTTCAGTCCAGCAGACTAAAAAAGGTGTCGTCACCCCCCAAAAAAACGTAACAAGTCAAAGTGTAGCGTGGGAACAGTTGCCTTTTAGGTGTACATAAAACACCATGAGTTGCTGACTCTTGAAAAGCGTAACTCTGTGTGAGCAGCTTGGTCTGTCCATGCTGAGTTTTAACCCTTGATAGAAAGCCAAATGTTCCCCTTTTATTGTAAAATTTCCAGCCTAACTGGTTTTGAACGTCATTTGGATAAACAGGGCCAGAGTGTTTGAAAGCCTATCTGAACTTCTAATTCCTGTCAAACCAGTTACAAATCTAGTCTGGCCAATTGCTATGGAGAGGTTTATTGTTTTTTGGTTTTTTTAATAATTGAAATCTAAATGCTCTCAGCCATTTCCAGCTAAACACAGGGCGGAAACTAATCTAGCCAGAACAGCATTAAAAACAGCTCTAACTTCTTTTTTTAAAATGAATTTTATTTTCTAATTGTTTGTTTACTCTGTAACTCCTCAAAGCAATTTGAAGGCATGTGTTAAGTCTTATGCCCTGTCTTTATGACTGCAGTCTTCTTGTAACAGCGCCAGAAATTATGGGCACATAACCCGCTTAGAGGTCCTTGAGCTCCACAGGAAATCTCTTATTGGAAGGGCTTAACGAAGACAATCTGATTTTGGAGACCAGGGCCTGTGTCCGACCATATGAACACACAAAGGCCCTAAGCTGTGCGAAAGGAGCCTTTAGAATCAGGATGATTAAGAATAAATGGAGGATCTGAATTTGGAGAATGGTGCCACCACTTACTTCATCCACTTCATCCATCCCTGTGGAGCAGGGGGGACCAGGGGAACCTGCTTGCCAAGGTTAGGTCACCATCAGCGCTTAACGAACACTGTTAGCCCTAATGGCAAATAAACCTGCACTTGCTATTAGCGCTATTTGTGGCAGGCTGGAGGACAGAAGACCTCTTGCTACAATTATTGTCCAGTGACTCAGGACTGGATGATACCATCCAAGTAGTTTTTAATGTGATCCTTCTGTTGGATGGGGGAAACGAGCCCTTTTCCCTGCTCTCAGCTTGTCTGGTTAGATTGCAAGCTCTGCTCAGGCCTCCTGTGCTTTACTACAGTAGAAAAGTTGAGGGTTTGTTTTTGCTTTTACCGAGAGAGAGAGAGGGAGAGATATAAAAGTATCATCCACCAGGATGGTTTTGCTTGCTTCCTAATTTTCTGCTGATTATGACTGTACCCACGCAGTGTGAGCATGTCTGCTGGCTGACAATGCAGGTGTGTTTAAAGTAATGAAGCTGTGTGCGGACAGGCTCGCGCTGTGTGTTTGTGCAGCCTCTTCCAGGGGCCTCTGGCTGCTGCTACAGTATAAATAACCTCCCCCTGCATTGTGCTGTGCTCCGGGTTTCACATGCACCCATGTGCTCTTTCATGTGTGTTGCTGACTTAAAAAAAAAAAAAAAAGTCCTTAGACTTTAATCCTTGGGTTTATTTCAAAGCTTACAAAGGCAAATCTGGTTTATAGCAAGAGATTTGCTTGATTCCTTGTGCTCTGCGGATGAATGGAGTGGCAGATGGAGCGGGGAGGGGAGGGCTCGGGGACCCCTTGGCTCTATCTTCTTGCTAGCTTGACCCTACTTCCGTGCCTGCTGCCCAAAGCGCTTTCTTTTAAGCTGCGCAGAACACGAAACGGGGTCAGTACAGACCTCTGCTTGGGCAGTATCTGTTTTATCCACCTCTTCTATGATTTCAAAAGCTATTTTCTTACTCTCTGCTCTGGCTTGTTGGTTGTGCATTGCTACATAGCCATCGTCTCGTGCTTCAGAAGGTGTGAAAACCCATGTATAGTGTGTGCATGTAGGAATGACAGAGGTGCAAATAAAATGAGCTGCGGCCTCTGGAAGCAAAAGGCCTCAAAAAATCCTATTAAACCCTTGAGTCATCGGAAATAACTGGAGTTTTGAGACCTGCTGTATAAAGAGGTGCTGGAAAGCCTCCCCCCGACCTGCTGCACAAAATCCCCTCTTTTGAGGGGGACAGGCAGGGTGCTGCTCTCTGCTAACCCTTGCCAAGAGCAGTGCCCAAGCGGGACAGGACCCTAAACGATTCGATAAGAGCCGCGATAAGGTGGAGCCGTGCTGGCAGGCTGCGTGCCGGCAGCCGCATGCTCCTCCTTATCAGGGAGCGCCGCGGCGAAAGCGCTGTGCCAGCGACGGGAGGGGCACTGTGGGAACCGGCGATGGCTCAGCATCCGCGGGGCTGCTCCTCGGGCACAGGCAAACCCAGATGATCTAATTCCCTGCCTTGGTTTTCTCCAGCTGCACCCACTGCTTGTGGAGATGCCAAATGAGGCCCCAGCCACAGGAGAAGAACGCGTTTTCGCTGGGGATCACATCAGAGCTGTGGCTTCAGATCCTCCCCCAGTGCACGCCAAGGGAGGCATCTGGGGCTGCGAGACAATGGCTCGAAACAATCCCGGTTCTCTGCCAGGGAATATTCATTCAGAAATCCCATCCTGTTTTGATACTCTCTCACGGTTGATCAAAGCAAAGGCAAGAAAAGAGCTTGGCCTCCTACTGTTGCTTTAGCTTCGGGCCAGTTTCAGCAGAAGCTGGGCGAGTGCCTTTATCCTGGGCAGCGTGGCTGGCAGCTGGGCCAGCTGGTGCAGCTCCCTGTTTTGTGGTGGCTCTAAGGTGCTGCTTGCATCTTACAAAGCACTGGGGCCGTGCACCGCTTGCACCAGTTCTCCTCTCCCCTCCTGCTGGGCTGGATGGAGGCAACCAAGGACGCTTGGTTCTGCTCCATGCTTGCCTTGGCTTGCTCTCCCTGCTCCATGATCGGACACGTCCTCTGCGCTGCAGCCACCTCCTCCTGGATCCTGCTCTTCCTCCAGCTAAAAGCCAGGCTGGAAGGAGGCACCGAGTCCTGAGGTGTCTGCCCTTGCTCCTCACCTCAAACGCTCCTCAGGCAGTGAGATGACAGCAGTTATTGTCGTGTTCCCCCTCATCTCCCTCACCTGTCTGGTGATGGCAAGTTCTCCTGCATGCTTTGGGGATCACTGGAAAGGATTTGGCCTTGTCCAGGGAACAAGGATCTGTGCTGTGTCTTGGGTGATGGACAATGAAATTTGGTGATGGAAACCTGCTGGGGAGAGGAGACCCCCTGTGTAGGGGGCCAGACCCCATCCTGTACTGCAGCCAGGAGGGTAGGAAGGGCCAGACATCAGGGATGGGTCACTGTTGCTGGCTGCCCTGGGTGACTGATCCGTGTCATTCCAGGTCAGCAGAAACGCTGCTCCACCGATGCCGAGAACGCCCCGACGCCGATCCGGCACCCAGGGCCCATGCTGGGCCGATGCCCCAGCAGAAGCGCGCAGGACCCCGGGGCTGCCGGCTGTCAGGGGCACCCTTCCCCTCGCACCAGCTCCCGTCGGCTGCACCGCTCCTTCAGTCCGTTGGCGGTTTCAGTAAGTGACTTGCCAGTGGCTTGGCGGGGACAAGCCTTTGCTTC